CGTCTATTCCTTCCTCTTCGTGGATTTTCTCCATGCTTTTGTAGAAGCTGAAATGTGGGACTTTTTCAATTTTCTCTCTTCTGAAGAGCTCTTTGGTCTTTTCTGATTCGTCCCCCATTACCAGGAGGAACTCCACGTCATTGCACGTACGGCTGAGATCCACCATAAAAGGGTACATTTTTCTGCTCTGGGCGCTGTCGCTGGCCGCAAATTCGACGACCACGAGCTTGTTTTTGGCTGTTTCAAGGGCTTCGTCGAATTCCTGTATGCTGTGCACTTTCTGCACTCTTTCATCGCTTTCCACTTTCTTCGTGCCAGGGGCGGCTGTAGCCTTAGTAATAAATCTATTGAAGTGGCTTTGGTTGGCTTCTAGGTTTGTCGACAGAGGTTTTTGTTTGTTGACCAAGCTTAAAAAGGAACAGTGCCGGTACAGACCACCAGTTTTTGGGATTGAAGATAGAGATGAAGGGGGTTTGGCTAAGAAACTTGCGACTGTCGCCATTGAAACTTAACTATCTAAGAGGGAAACGGAAGATTTGCTTATTCTAAGCTAGCTATGAATGAATCTACAGAAACGTACGGGGAGAGAGTGCCCTGAAATTATCTTCTAGTCTCTAAGTGCCAAAACTTCCCTCACATCCACTCGTTTGCTTGTGGTTCATATCATCCACTGACGCCCCCCATACATCTTTATTCCCTTCTAATCAAATACTACCGTAAAGCCCAAAATATCTTCTGTTGTTTTCAAATTATCAAAGCATCCACAAAGTTTGGGCTTCTACTTTTATACTTGATATGGGTTTTGGTGCTACTAAAAAGTTGTTGACACAAATTTAAAAATGAAACACTGCGACTAATTTAGTGTGTTAAAACTCGTATGGCAGTTATGATGCCTCGTTTAAGAATGGATCCAAATCCTCTGTTATAATTTTCTTTGTCATAAACTACTTGAATCTCTGAATAGACAACAATAGATAGGCCTGCCATAAGTTTTGAGCCATTTGGATACAATCACCTGATATTTTTCCCCTCGAACAAAGTAGCCACACACACGCAACTAGCACGAGAGTTTTGACAAGTCAAGAAACAAGAAAAGGAGTCTTCATGTCCAAAACAAAATATCTTCTACTCAATATGATTTGGGAGAATGACGAACACAAAAAAACTCTGAAATGCGGAGGCATGGTGAAAATATATCTCAGCTTGTATATTTCTGGCCACAGGGCTTAGTGATAACACGAATACACAGTTTGTTTTTTTGTGTGTGTCCATTAGAGCACCTCCACCTCAAAGGGTTAAGGCAAGGCAAGGTTTGTCACTATTCACATGAATAGTGGCAGTCTTACCTTTTTTTTTTTCCACCCCAAAAGGCAAAAGCAAGGATAATTACTATTCACTTTAATTTATTTTCTATATTTTATACGATAAGATTTTGGTTGCCACGTGTCACTATTTATTATAAAATTCTCACATAAAATTTCAAATAACATTTTCAGATTAAATTTTCGTATAAGATTTTCGGTTGCCACGTGTCCATATTTATTATAAAATTCACATCTCACTCATCATACAATTGAAATACTCCCGGTCCTCATAGTCCGACACAAGAGTACACGGACGATTCAATCATTGGCGGCGGTTCCACCATATCACGACGTGGGGGAGTATTTTCCTTTGGAGGATGTAATAGTGCCATTATTTCTGACATGGAATGCACCACTGGAACGGACTATGGGCATTGTTCACTTAAGGAGCCATGTGTAAGAGCAACTCCACCCATTTGCCCATTGCCATGGCAAGGGGGGGCTAGGGCAGCCACTATTCACGTGAATAGTGGTTGCCCTTGCAAATAGTATTGTGTGTTTCCACCCGTTGCCATGGCAAAGGGCAATTACTATTCATTTTTTGTTTTTTTCACAAATTTTTTTTACCTCAATAATTAATTTGGATAATATTTTCAGATAAGATTTTCGGGTTCCTACGTGTCAAGACTAGGATAAAATTTCCGGATAAGATTTTTGGGTTCAAATAATGAAACATCTTCCATGGTACTCCACGCCCCTTCGGTTTCGATAGAAGAAGCCATAAATATAAGAAATAAAAATACAATTTGAAAGAGAGGAAAATATTGAGTAAAGAGTGAATAATAGTAGAAGTAGAAGAAAATGTATGAGGATTGGTGTTGAAAGTGAGTGGTATTCATAGGTATTTATAGAAAAAAAAATTCAGAATATTTTGGTTTTTTTTTTTTTTAAATTCAATTTTTTTTTCATAATTTTATTGCCAAAAAAATGCCAACCGTTGGATTGGAGGAGGAGAAGCAAATCGGAGTGCCCAGGCCTTGACACCTGTCTTCTACCCGTTGGAGCTTGCGCAGGGCTGACGTCAACGCACACGAGTTTAATTTTATTTTTTTACCGTTAGCGCGTGCCTTGCACGCTCCAACGGTAAAAAAAAATTTAAAACCACTCAATGACGCCGCACCTGACGTCATCAGCCCTTGGGCTCGAGCTCGGGCCAACCCGTCTTCGTGAGTCCCACTCCCAGCCAGGGCTTGGGCTCCTCGCTAGAACTAGATTTCCCCCCCGCCCCCCAGGCACTGGAGTTGCTCTAATGATTTTCCTCTTTTCTGTTTTGCCTTAAATAATCTATTTAAAAAAATGAAATTGGAAATGCAAGAAGTATATTTATAAAAAAAAAAGACATTAAATTGAATAAAACGACAATTAATTTTTTCTACCTCGTCGCCAAGATTTTGACCTATTCGAACGTTTTTCCACAACCCTCTAGCTTCAATGGAAGAAGCCATTTGCATTTTTGCACAAATGGAATTGTGTAGTAGAAAATTTGGTGTGGAAATTGAAAAATATTGGAAGGAAATGAATTTGTATGAAGATTTGGTGTGGAAAATGAATAATATTGGAAGGAAATGAATTTGTATGAAGATTTGGTGTTGAAAATGAATAATATTAGTAGGTATTTATAGACAAAATTTCCATAATTTTTGGATATTTTTTACAAAAAAGTTTTGAATTTTTTTAGCCAAAAATTGGACATCCGTTGGATTGGATAAGATTTTTGAATCAAAGGTCCAGGATAAGCCATGTGGCTTGTAGCCGTTGGTTTTTGTGGGCTGGTGGGTCAGCAGCCTTCGGGCAACAGCCCAGTCCAATTTTGCCCCTGAGCTTGCACGGGCTAGTGGGTCCCACGCCTTGCCCTGGCTGGGTTGTGTGCGCTGGAGATGAATTTTGGGCTTAGGGCAGCGTTTTGCTCGGGCCAGGCCCCTGCACTGGAGGTGGCCTTAAGGCCTGGAAACTATTTAGTCAAAACAAGACCAATCGCCTTCAGCAAGGTCTATTCCAGATTCAGAATGGAATTGGGCCCTGGAAAAATATCAAGTATGTATATTCACTTTAATTATTTTTGTAAATTTCATGTCAATTATAGAAGAACCAATAATTTCATATTGACGCCATTGACATAATTAACTCTATTAGGGAACAAATTCCCTTCCCGGAGCCCCCGCCCCACCGCAGTACAAAAATACGGATAAAAAATTAATTTATGAATGAAAAAAAAAGTTAGAAACTAAACATACAATACAAAAGTTTTGTTCAAGACACATTTTTTTTTAATGTATTATTTAATTCAATATACACTATGATATGAGGAATATTATAAAATTTGGTGAGAATCATGAGGAGGGAATTAACAATATATTCATATAAAAAATAAATAATATATATTCTAAATGGAGCGGATTCGAGTTTGGAATTAGAATACCAACTCTGCGCCCCAAACACCATACCCAAAATTTTTCCCAAACCCATCGTCATACTCAATTTCTATTGTTCATACCTGACTCATTAGTGGGGAAAATTGTCATCCTTAGTGGTACCCCATTAGTATTTATAAGTTTTCAAGTTTCACGACGCTCATGAATCTCCACAATTAAAAAACTCATGAAGTGCCCATAAAGGCAATAACGCATAGCAATTCAAGTGCCAATTTAATGAATGAGAATAAGCGAAGGCATTAATATGTATAATTTATTTCATATTAATAATATTTATGAGATGAAGCCAAGAAGGAAGAACCATTCCATTCACATTCGTTTCATTAATTTATATATAACTTACAAAAAGAATAACTCATTAATAAGTTCAGATAAATACAAGGTGGCGGAAATTATAAAGAGAATTTACAACTAAAAAAAGAGTGGGTTGGTGGTGGACGGATCTGTCAAAGCATAACAATAGAAAGAAAGCAGTGGGTGAGAGATTCAAACCCGGATGTAGACCCGTATGTCGGCATGTGCGTAGTAAAATACCCAACATCACGCATGAGATGACACACAAACAAACAAAAAGCCAACACAGATTTGGCGGGATTCTGACTCTCTTCTCAACTCTCTCTCTCTCTACTCTCAGTGCTCAGCTCACAGTCTCTAGACTTTCCTTCCTCCAGTGCTTGCCACCTAACCTAATACAAGTCACCCAGCTTAGCTTAGCATCCTCCGCCTCATGCTTTTATTTATGTTATGTTTTCTCACCTCACTAGCCCATGTGCTCCATCGTGTAACCCCGCACTGGGTCCCACAAATACACCTTGACAATGGATCCTTTCCTTGGTTTCACCTGTTGTCACTTCCATCCTTTCCTCCCTGCACTGCAGTGGACCCTAATTCTTTCTTTCATTGACGGTGGACCTCTGTCCTCAAATTTGTTTTGTCACAAATTTTGCGAAATTCCTGATATTCTAATAAAATGTGGGCGAATTTACATACATGCGTTGTGGTGCTGCCGATAATGCACATAATTCAAATTACCAAAAATTAAAAAAACAAGACAGAAACCAAACCCTACCAAGATGCAAATTTAAGATGCCAATCCAACCACGAAACTCAAATAATTCCAAATAAAAATACAAGAGAATAATAAATTAGCAGGTTAAGTAAACAAAAGAAAATAAATAAAAATAAAAGGAAAACAAAACCTAGATTAGAAGGATAATTAAAACAAAGTAACAAGAAGAAAAAAAATACAACAAAAGGGGCTAAGGTAAAAGGGGAAGTTGAGTGGACCGGCGATACCGTCACAGAGTACAAGGAAACTAAGAAGATTTTGGTGTTTCCGGCTTCCGGCAGAGGATCATGTGCATCGGAGTGAAGATTCCGGACTCGCCGCCCCTGGTCAAATAGTCAGCGGTTTTGAACAGCATCTCGTGCACATCCACCGTGCCCTTGGGTGCAACTCCGATGGCCGCCAGCACAGTCACCAGAATGTGGTTGCGCCAGTAGGCGATCCTTCCCATCTTCAACCGGGTCCACCACGGCTCCGCCGGCGGCTGAGGCCGATCTCGCTCCTTCACCACCTCAAAGCCGACCTTCCTCGCCGTCTCCGCAATGTCCACGTAGCTCCTTAGGCCAGGCAAGGCGTCCCCTCTCTCAATCCCCTGAATAACCTCCACGTGTTCCGCGTCGTCCCCCTTGTACTTGTCTGTCGTCACCCACTCGTACGACACGTACAGAGATCCCGGCTTCAAAACTCTAAAGATCTCGGCGTACACCTCCTCCAGCTTCGGCGCGTGGCACGTCGCCTCGATCGAGTACGCGCCGTCGAAGCTGTTCTCAGGGAACGGCATCTCCAAGAAATTCCCGCACACCACCTCGCATAGAGAGTCGAGGCCAGCCTTCTTGTTGTGCAGACGCGCTCGTTTCACCTGGTACTCGTTGATCGTGATCCCGACCACATTTGCACGCGAGTGAGCTGCGATGGCTCGCATGGGACCACCAACACCGCACCCGACGTCCAGAATTCGATCTCCGGGTTTGACGTCGATGAGATCGACGGCCATCTCCTCGTGGAGGCGCGTGGCGTCGCGGTGGGACTTGCCGTGGAGGGAAGGGGAGAAGTGGAAGGACTGGCCCCATCCCCACTCGTAGATATCGGTGACTAAATTGTAGAAGGTGTCGACAAAGTCGGGAACCTTCTCGGCGGTTTCGATCTCTTTGGGGCGGCGGAAGAAAGACCAGTACTTGTCATAGTTGTCTTGGACTTTCTCGGCGGAGATGGAGCCGCCGGAGAGATCTACGGCGCGCTTGCCCTTTTGCTCGGCTGGGCCGAGAATGCAAACGAACCAGTAGAGCCCACCGGCTAGGAGGGCCCCAGTACAGAAGAGAGTGAGAGAGTCCATCGGAGTTTGGAAGAGAAACACAGAGAGAGAGAAGAGTGAAGGAAGGGAGAGAGAGAGAGAGAGAGAGAGACTAGTGGAAGAAAGGGAGAAGTGTTTGGTCTCTCCTACTAGATTCCTGTTTGGCGAAGCCGCTAATTGGGTATTTAAGTTTTTTTATTACATCCAATATAATCTAATTGCACGCGCGTAGCTTCCTGCGTGGATCCAGCTATCTATATTTTAACACGTGGATTCGGAAGAGTCCAAAAGGCGTGCGATCCAGATACACTTCAACTTTGTGTTTATTACGGATCTACCCAGGTATTTCCCACTGTAAATTGAACGAATATCTAGGGGTTGATATAGAAGAGAAAATGTTTGTATTTTTGTTGACAACTGTGTTTTTTTATTTTTTATTTAAGATGATATGGGTGATTACTAATTAGGGTAATTTTTATTGAGGTTTTTCGTGGGGGGGATTTATTATCTTTATTAAATATCTAACTTTCAGTTATTTCTTAGTATTAGAAATAACGTTGATGTAAGTGAAGTTAGTGGAGGAATAACGTTATCAAATGCTAACAATAACATCAACAATGAACGTCTTTTATTGGTAACTAATACTTAATAGAGTCATCAACATCACTCAAAAACCTAGTCCTCATTATAAAGAAGATGGATTTAAGGAAATTATTAGTGAGAAATAAAAAGGAATCCGCAAGTAAGAAGAGTCTCCTCGTAAGTCATGAATCATAATGAATTTCCTAAACACAAGAGACCCTGAGCTTTGCTTACGGACAATAACAAATGCTCACATTTAAGTGATCATGTGGTAAACCTGAACGCATCAGTTATCAAATGCTCTTTCTCAACTCATATATATATATATAAAATATAATCAAATGCTCTTTCTCAACTCATATATATATAAAATATAAAATATATAGGGGAGCTTCAGATGATTGATTTTCAAATAAGCTTATTTGAGGGATATTTTTGTATGGCCCACTTCAACTTTGTAAATACTCATTCAAATATATCTCTACAAAAAATCAATTAAATCCAATATCATTTGACCACTTGATCGGTTCATAATTGTATATCATTTTGTACCCTTCTAGCTTATGATTTGGTTATGTTTTTGAGTTAAACTTGT